TCGACCAAGGTGGCCCCCGCCCTCCCTCCCTCCCTGGTCACGTGTAGGCCCTCAACCCGGCCTATGCGAGGACCCCGGCCACCATGACACCCTAGATGGGAGGGCGGCTTGGCGTCCTGGCCACGGAGGGACTTCCCAATCCCAAGCACGGAGGGGTCACAGAGACCCGGAATCAAGGCGAGCTTTGTCCACAGCAGGACCCTGACCCACAGGAAGTCCTGCCTGTATCAGGCTGCGTGGGGAACCCTGAGCAAACCCAGATCTTGGGACCCCCTCAGAACCCAGATCTTCAGGCTTTTCATGTCTTTAGAAGGGATTCAAGTCTCAAAGCCAGCTATGTTCACATAAGACTTGACCAAAACAAAGACTGTCCTCAGCAGTACCTAAACGCAGGGCAAACCTGCCCAGGTCAGGACTCCCAAACTCAACCCCCAAATCCTCATTCATGCTGGATTTGTGAACATCAGAACCTCAAACCCTTTAGCCAACCATGTCTATGCAAGGATGCCAGTGTCTGAAATAAGCCCTGCTGACCTTGGGACCCCCAGACCCAGAACAAACCTGCCCGAGACTGAACCCCAAATCTCCAGGCTAATCACTGCTCCCTCAGAACCCTGAATCCTCCACCAACTGTGTCCATGCAAGACCCAACTCAGGACCCTGAAACTCTGAACAAACTTGGCCAAATTTGAACCCCAAGTTGCCAGGCTAACCATGACCTCAGAACCCTGAATCCTCTAGCCACTATGTCCACACAAGGACGTCAAGTTTGAACAACCCTTGACCACCTTAGGACTCCCAAACCCAGAACATACCTACCTAAGACAGAACCCCAAATCTCCAGGATAACCATGACTACCTCAGAACCCCAAATCCTCCAGCCACCTTGTTCTTGCAAGGACACCAAAAAGTAAAGTAAACTCTGCCCATCTCAGGACTCCCAAATCCAGAACATACCTGCCCAAGACTGAACCCCAAATCTCCAGGCTAACCATGACTACCTTGGAACCCCAAATCTTCCAGCAACTGTGTCCTCATGACGTCAAAGCTGAAACAAGCCCCACTTACTTTAGGACCCCAAAGCCAAGAGCAAACCTGGCTGAATCTAAAGCCCCAAATTACTAGGCTAACCATGTGACCATCAGAACCCCCAAATCCTCCACACAAGAATACCAAAGTCTGAAGCAAAACCTGCTTCCCTCACTCAGGACTCCATATCTCTAGGCAAACTGCACACAATTGAACCTCAAATCTCTAAGCTACCCCTGGCCACAACAGAGCCCTAAATCCCAGAGCAGACTGCTTACATCATGACTGTCAATTCCAAAGCAGATGCACCCCAGTCTGAGCCCCCAATTTCCACCTAACCATTTGAGTATCTGAATCCAAATCTATTAGCCTGCATAAGGATGACAGAGCCCAAAATGAACTCTGCCCACATGTGGACCCCAAAATTCATAG